TCGAGGAAATTGAGGTTAACTTTCTCGAAGAAGAAAAAACAAAGCTTACAACACATGACATGTGGGAAAATAAGAATTCTTGGGTCTATGTTAATCCCAAAATTGTATTTTTACCTTTTAATTAAAAAACAATAAATAATGAAATCCAAATTAGAGTGCAATGGAAGAGGATTGGAAAGATGACAGAATCAAAGTCTTTGATCAGCTCCTTAAACCATCGACCACGTTGTTGACAAAACTAGAGAAAAACATGGGGAGGGGGAATAATATAATATTATTGGAGAATAAGATCAAGGACATATAAATTAATTATTAAAAATTACTGTGTATCCAAACACAGGTGGTGAGTTATCCGAAAACGTGGGAAAAGTAGATAATTCTCGACGTTTTAATAAACTTCAGAAGAAAACTGGCACATTCAAACTCGAGCCAAACTTTTCTCCCGACATTTTTTTAAATCCGTCGGGATTGGTCTACTTCTCCCGATGGTTTTTTAAAAACGTAGGGAGAAGTACATCCATCCCGACCAAATAGAAAGATAGAGGCTCATTGCTGTTGTTTTTTTTTAATGAGTATCCAGACCAACTAAGAATGGAAATCAAGCAATGTAGAGAAAATATGTATGCATGAGTCCGTCAGCATTTAAAAACTTTGTTACGTCCAATGGCTCTTGACTCTTGACCATACTATGACGGACATTGACTGACATCCTTACGAGTGTCCTTGTTTATTTTCATTTTTCATGGCGGTTGTCGCCCGTCATTGTATGTACGTCACTGCATGTACGTCATTGTTTGTGCGTCATTGTTTGTACGTCATTATTTGTGTGTCATTGTATGTACGTCATGAAATGACTATATTTATTGACTGTCATTATATCATTAATAATTTAATTAAAATAATAGTTGGGTGCCAATCATGTGGCTAACCAACCTTATTTTATTCAAACCTATCCCCAAAATAATATCTCAAAATTGCAATCAAAATTAACTAATTTACATGCAACTAAAACTTTTAACACCCTTCTACACAAAAAAAAAAAAAAAAAAAACGAATGGGTCAACCACGGTCAATTCCTAAAAATCGTACATTCAGCAACAATCCAACACTTCTCTATAAACTTTCATATTTAATATCTTTCTATATAAAAAATTAATGGGTCAACCACCCATATATTCATAAAAAAAATTATACTAAGCAACAATTCAACACTTTATATAAACATCCATATATATTTAACATCTTTCTATACCAAAAAAATGAATAAGACCACCATTCCTCCACAAAGTGCATTCAACAACCATTCAATACTAATATAAACAAAAAAAATATTTTTATTCTACTAATACTACTACAAAAACAGCGACAATTCAACAATAATATACCTCACATGTTATACTCTAAAAAAATTGTCACAAATAATGTCAATCTGAATCTAGCTCAACTAATTAAGACATGCATGTGTACCAACCCTCGCCTGCGCATGCATGTTGTTGTAAAAAGAATGGTGGGAAATAATTAATGGATGCCTTCTTATAACAATATTTGTGCTAAAAATGAAAAGTATTACAACATAAAATGTCATTTCCAAAATACAAATAAAAAAATCATAATACTCCTTCCCCACTTGACACATTATTATTTGCTTGAATTATGCACAAAGAAAAATGAAAACAAATTAACAAAAGCCAAAGGCATATGCATTCTGTTAATTAATTTGTGTTCAAGGCCACACCAGAATTAGGAACCATGACATGGTCTTGGTAGGCGTTTGCCGGCGCCGCCGTGGATTTTCCGGCAAAAGCCCTTTGCCGGACCGGCACCGGAATAGTGGTGTCTCCATTTCTCCCAGAGGGAGGAACCGGCGCCCTCTGCAGCGACTGCTGAAGCACCACAGCCGCCGTCTGCCACTGCTGCCGCCGCCGCTCCTCTTTCATTAATCTGCAAGCTTCCCGCCGTTGAGTGGCGGCAAGAAGAAGCACAATGGCCAAAAAGAGACCAAATTTGATCTTCATTTTCAGAGGAGAAGAGAAAAAAGGGTCTCGATCAGCTGATAAATGAAGAAATTATATTAATTAAACACAGATGAAATGAAAAGACAATATAATGATTAATGGAGATTATTGAATGCTATATATGGAAGTGAAATTTGAGGAAGTTGGTGGGTTTATACCAACACCATGTTGATTTCACCTTTGTTTTCGTACGTCTTCTTCTTCAAAAATTTCTTGAATTGACTCTAATTGGTCAAACTGGAGTACTTTCTTGAGGAGGAAAAGAAAAACACATGAGAAAATGAGACTTTTTTTGGTCTGTTCCCCAAAATTATTTTTGTTAGGATAAAAGACTTTTTTTTAAGGATAGAAATTTCGAGATCTCACCGGAAACAACGATAAAATGTTGATACGAATATTTCAAGAAATGTTATAAAAATTAAAAAAAAAACTTGTACGAAATTGACAAATAAATATTTCATATTTTCTAAATAAGTTGAAAAACAAAAGTTAAAAATTAATTATGTCTATATTAGTGATATTTTATTGATATTTTTCCTATTTTATCAATTTTTTCTTGCCATACTAAATAAATGTTAATTTACCCTCCCATGTTGATGCCGAATTCATAAATACATGAAAATGTCGATGAAATTAAATATCAACATATCGATAGATATCTAATACATTCATATATATACACATTTCGAATGAGCTAATCCGTGCATTAAAAGCTAAAAGATTTTAATTTGAGGGTTAAATTATAAATTTGGTCTTGCTTTTAGAGTTGAAAGTCTATTTAGTCCTAATATTTTAAATGGTTATAACAAGTCTCTAAACTTTAAAATTGGATTTATCTAATTTTTTTACTTTAAATTCAACACCTTTCAATTTTGTGTGCAATATATTAGATAAATATGAAATTTAAATTTGATCATGAAGTTTGGATCTTGTCATTTTGATACAGGATTATTGGTTCGGTTCTCCACTCACCATATCAATAGGTCGTTGGTGTTAACTATGTCGATTTAATGTATCGGTAGCATGTTGACTATATATTATTTAATTAAGGCGGTAAAATAACCAAAGTTAATACAAATGTCTATTATATATACAAAATTGAAAAATCAGAATGCCCTATTAAAAACTTTAAAAAATATAGAAAAACAGCATGGTAATCTTGAAAGTTTAGAACATAGACTTTTGACAAAATAGATTCACTGAAATAGTTTTGGTGAAAATGTTGTTTGACCAATCGGAACTTAAAGAATAATTAAGTTTTTAATGGTTTGAACAAGTTGTTGTGTGTTCCTCAAGACTCCGGAATTAAATCATGTGACTTTACTGTTTGAGTATAAGATTTTCAAACGCAAACCAAATTACCTTTTTTGTTTTTCAACTCTATTGACTGTGACAAAACTGCTTTCCATATCAATTAAAATATTTCTTTTGAACCATTTTTTGAGAATTCAAAAGCCCAAAACGCTGAAACTAAATCGAAATCTGACCAAGATTAATAAACTCAAAAGAGTCATCATCTCGAAGGCGTATGTTAAGGATCTCTATTGAAAACGATAAGGAACTTAACAAAAATTTATAATATAAATGAGTTACTCCTCTCATAACCAATTGATTTTGAAATGAAAACTCATGAGTATTAATAAGCCCAACACCCGACAATCGTGTTTATATATTTTATTTTGGTATGATGATAGTCTAGGCCTAGCCGGAGTTTGAAATCTTCTTCATTTTTAATCTTGTTATTATCATGTTTGGTTTTACAGCTCAAAAATTTTTAAAACTTAATCTAAAATAAGAACAAGATAAAATTGCTATAAAAAATTTTAAAAAAACGAAGCATCTAGATTGAATTGAGAATTTTTATTACATGGATAATTGAACAAACATAGATTAAAAAGTAATTAATTTTTAAGAGTAAAAGTTAGTCAATTTTTTAAGGGCAATTTTGTAATTTTATAAAAAGAATATATTGGTCGTTTTATTAAAAAGTTCATTTTTTCCTATTTTTTAAAATATCACTTTGAGTTCTATTTTATGTAAATTTATTCAACAACAAAGCAAAAAGAAATCAATGTCATAAAAAAATATTTTTTTTCCCTCAAAAAATTGTTATTACGTTTATGGTACTCATTTATTTTCATGTTGCATGGTAAAAGAGTTTTGATGAGGGAGACTCCTTTTCCATTTAAAATATTTTTTCTGTTAAACTAATTCCTTTGATGCCTCTTCTGAAATTTTCAAGCATATTATAAGTTCTTATCGATTCAAAGGTTAGCTTTTTATAATGTTGCAACACGAACCGTGAACCATATCACCTGATTATAACATAATAATTATAGCAAGTAGTAAAAATCTTTTATGTATATCAGCTACTGTATATCAGACACTCATATCACATACATATTTAGTATATCAAATGTATATCACATGCATATTGTAAATATATCGGACACTCATATTAGTAGTATATCATATGTAAATGTATATTATTTGGGTAAAGTTGTCATTTTAAAATTGGACCTTCGTTATTAAAAAAAAAATGTTTGGTAACATTCCAATTTATATTTCTTGTTTCTAATTTTATTAAAAAATCTAAACTTTTGACCAACTATTTATGTTTATTGTTTCTCAATTGTTAAGTCTTTTGTTTTTTTTTTTTCCATTTCCAATCTATTCTACCATAAATCAATATTTTTTTTAATTATTCTTAAATTTATGGGTATTGACGACTATGAAATTTTATTTTCTTTATTAACAAAGAAAAACAGAATCAAGAAACATGAACGTTACTAAACAAATCTTAAATTTAGAATTTTGGGATTCAATAAAAAACAAAAACCAAAAAAATAAAATAAATCAGCAGCAGCTTCTCGTGAAATTTGCTCCTTTGAATTATCGTTCTCTTTGGAACTTGTGATTATTGTTGAGCAGAGGATTACCCAACTTCTACATAACACACCAATTCAACTACATCATCTTCACAAATAGTTCCAAAAGATAAGCTCTCTAATTTTCTTTCCAACCATGTTTTGATTTTGGTTCATTACAACTTCATTTCAGTGTTCTATTGTGTAACGAAGACATGAATACACAGACAGATTCAGGAATTATCCCCAGATAAGCTGTGTGGAAAGACTTTACATAAAAATATCATGCATATACAAATGTTGTGTTTATGAACTTATTTCCAGGAAGGAGAAAAAAAGGTTCCCTGTAAATATTTCTAAACATGTACATGAAAGGAATCGCAGAGAATAACAATCAACATCTGCCTAATTCTGTAAGCAGTTGATTACAGAGGTATGTATTGACATTTCACATACGGACCGTACACATAGCGGCAGTATCGAAATCCATGGGGTGGTGAAAAGGCGACCTGGTAACGAGCGATCTCCACGTCTTCTTCTGAGGATTGTAGATTTGCATGTACAGTGTTCCTCCTTTCTTATGATGTCGCAGCCGTCGCGCTTCTGCAGATTCTGTCTTCATGAGTGATATAACATACAATTCTCCATTCAATGCAACAAGGCCATATGATGAGTTGAAAGGAGATTTTCTTGGTACCCTTGATTCTTCAACCCATCTGTTTGATGCCATTTCGTATCTAAAAACACAGTATGGAAAAGAAATGAAAAGAACAAATCAGAAGAAGCTCATTAATCTCAGAGCCATGTAATATATATGTATCAATCTCCATATAACTTGAGATTCGAGTTTAATTCATCTAAGGGATTTTCAATTTCGGTTTTCACATACCATGAACAGATGGTGGTTAAAAATAATGAAAATGGAAACAATTTTGTGTTCAGTATCAAACTGTTCAAATATAGATGAATTCCATATATGAAAGATGTATAACATAATTTAAAAATTTTCTCCTTTTTGGATCAACACCCCACACAACATCTGACAAAGCTTGATCCACAGGCCAAGAATGAGCAAAGAAAGAGAATCTTAAAACAGTAGCCACCTTCTTGATCGATGAAAATTTTCACGTTATTCACACTAGTTAACCTCAGAGATCAAATATTAAGTAACTCTGCAACTTTTGGAATTCCTCCTCCATTTGGCTTTCTTCTTCTTTTTGCCAATTGGAGTTGGTGTTGAATACAAACTGATATTTTCAACTCCAAATTAATTTTTTCAACTGCTCATCGACACCCATAACTTAGAACATGTCATTCTACTTTCTAGAGGAGAGGCATCCATCGTGCCTTCAAAAGGAGCCCAATTTAAGGAGATGGAACACTAGTCCTTCCAAAGTTAAAGTCAAATTTTCTCTTCCAAAATCAGAGCTTGGACCATGCAATCTAAACCATTCTAAGCAAATTGTTTAATGCTCTGCATTTATTTTTATGGACTCACAAATACTTTTAGTTTTCTATTAAATTTCCTCCATTAACAAGCAAAGCCATAGGTTTCCACAGTACAGAATGGAGATCTGCAATTGACACCTTTTCCTCTTACTCTCTAAATAGCAAATGGAGATTTCATAGTAAAGCGTATGAAGAGCAATCAGTCACAAAACCGAAACGAGGTATTGAAATTGAAGAAAACACTAAAACTAACCAAATAAGCAACACTCCAAAATAACCAGTCACCACACTGCAAAGCCCATGAAAAGTTTACCATCCGAACTTTAATATCAGAAAACTATTTGCGTCAGTAAAGCATGAACAAAGCAGAACTCCTTCTCTAGTTCACAACAGTAACCATTATGAGAATTTTGAATAACACACAGTCAAAAGTGAAAATTGGTTTCAACTAAGAACAAATCATAGACAAATAAACAGAAGAGTAACCTGAAGAATTCATCGCCATCAAGCATGAAAATCCCAGGTTGTCCACGGTTATAGTTGTCAATCACCACAATTTTTCCTAGTCTCCTTCTTTCCCCCTCTTCCCACATATCCCCAATTTGCCTCCACCTCCCACCGCCATTACCGCTCCTCAGTTCCATCACCACGGCATCTCTGTAATACTCATCCACTGGAAACACTCCCGAAATCGTCCGGGACTCGCCATAGCCACCCATCACCCAAAACTC